TTTTTTTTTTGTCTGTGTTCAGCCTGAACGGCTGAACGCCTTCCGAAGGGGTCCCGTATGTTCGGGCGTTCGGGTTCGGGCATTCAGCCCGTCCCGAACGCCAGTAACCTTGTATATATATATATTTTTCCCTTTCTGTGCTGTCCCAGAGGACTCCAAATCTAGGCTCATTTCATTTTTTGAGAGTTGGCTGTGAAGGGAGGGAAACGAGGGTATAAATTGTTTTTAAAGGGAATAAGAGGGGTTAAAGGGGGGTCCTTTAGTAAGATTTTGTTATTTTGTTTTTTAATCTCTGATTCCGTGAGGAATTCTGATGTGACCCTCAGCCAAAAGTTGTTTGTATTGCAATTCTATACAACATATTTTATTTCAAGAATTTATTTATTTATTTATTTATTTTTTGCGTTGGGGCAGCTCGGAACCCTGCTCGGGGGTTATGCCCGGCCGGGCACCCGGGCGTGTATCCAGGCACAAGCTGGGTGCCCGGGCGCCCAGAAAAAAACGGTAGGTTTGTATTGCAATTTTACACAACATGTTTATTTTGTAATTTTATAATTTTGAAATTTTATAATTTTTTTATTTTTTTATTCTTTTGTGTTGCGGCTGCCCGGAATCCTGCCGAGGGGTCATACCCGGCCGGGCACCCGGGCGTGTACCTGGGTAGAAGTTGGGTGCCCGGGCGCCCGAAAAAACAACCTAAAAATAAAGTTAAAAATATATATATATATATTTTTGTTTATTTGTTTTTGGCCTGGTCGGGCGAGTGGTTTTGAGCGACTCTGATGGCCAAGCCTAGCATTAATTCCTCAATCTCATTGCTTTTTAAAGTGTGATGTTTTGTGTGGTACATTTTGTTTTTCCCTGTATATGTGAGCTGCATGCTTGTGGGGGTTGCTACATGGTAAATGTCGGAAGGTAATTCATCATGAAGTTTGTCTATCATGCACATGGATAGGTGAAAGTCAATTTTCTTGCTCATTTAGCAAACGTGGTTTCTGGTTTCAAGGTTTTTTTTTTTTTTTTTCATTCCTTTCATTGTCTATCATCTTGTCAATTACGTGTTTTTCTTTCTCTGTTTTTTTTTTTTTTAATGTTATATATTTCTTTTTGATGCATTATCCCATGGATGTCAAATTCTAGCCAATTTTCTTGATCTTTCATTGCACATCTAGCTAATATGAGCAAGAGTGATGGTGGGAATTTCACGATATATTGTTGATGTGTTTGACCGATCACGTTTGGTATTAGACGAGACTGAAGGTCTGGCAAAATTTTGTGTTTTCCACTCATGCCATAGTATGCAATTTGTTGGTATAATATTTTTGTTCCCCACATACAGAGCACGTAGGTGAGCCTCTTCTAGACCCCTAATCACTTTAAAGTCGTTTTTGCCACTTTATATCACAGTTGTATTATTCTTCGTGATGTTAATCACTGCTTCTGAACCACTATAACTCTTGATAGTATACGTCATGTAAGATAAAACTAACAACATGTTATGGCAATGTCGTTCGCATCAAGCAACATACTTGCTCAAGTCAAAGTCGACGAAAACCTCGATAACATCCCGCTAAATGGAGAAAATGTGCTCGTGCTTTCGGTAATTCAACTTTATTAGGGCTTAGGTAAGGTATCCATGATAAATAAATATAGAATATTGACATTGTATTAAAGATAATCAATATAAGTTCACAATAGTCATTTAAATTCAAAAAATATATTTTATTAAACCACCAGTACCTCTACTAGTGTATGGCTAAGGGGCATTCACGTTAACGCCCCATGATTTTCGGGAGTTTCACGGTAGTTCGGATTTTACATTTGTGGCCAATATCGCGACATGGACCTTTGAAAGTCACGAGGAGGAAGTTACAGCCATACAACCGGTAGGTACTAGTGGTCAAACCATCTTTCGCATAACGATTTCACCATTTTCTTACTAACGTTATGTTCATCTTCCCCTAACTCTCTTTCGTTCTTACAGGTATCAACAACAAGCAAGCATATGCAAACTTTTGACCTTCATAAAGGAGCATGGAGTAAACATACCTGAGTGCAAGGTATGTCGCCAAACTTAGCATATGGAAGCCCGAACTACTATCAATTGTCAAAGACGGCCAACCACTCTAATGTCATTGCCATCTCTGTAAGTTTGATAAAATTGCATTCATTCTCTCATGCTCGTCATTCGAAATGAAAAAACGTATGTAAAACTTTAATAGAAACTACTATTACTGAATTTTTTCATACCTCCACGTATTTTAAGCAAGATTTGGAACAAACCTTATTAAAGTACAAAGAAGAAAAAAAAAAGAAAGGAACGGATCTTACTAAAGCTAGGCTATCAGTCGGACCGCTCGGGTCGCGAGTGGCCAGCACTTGAAAGGACCAGGGAAGGTTCCAGCAAAAAAACAAAAACAAAAAAAACAAATCCAAAAACTCAAAGAAAAAACCATGTTATGCAGAAAAATAAGCTGACAAACTTTTGCCTCAGGGTGACATCGAAATTCTTCATAGAATAAAAACTAAATATAAAAATAATTATTTTCTATTTTTGCCCCTGTCGGGCAAGTTACCCCGGATTATTATATTTTCAAACCTTTTTGGATTCTCTATAAATCTAAGATACACATATATAAATTTCAATGGTATTTGTCACAGCTAAACAAGAATAAAAAATCTCCAAAGTAGGCGGTGTCAAAAACGTGCTCGCCCACTCAATAATTTCATTCTCGTTTTATTTTTTTTAATTTTTATTATTATTATTTATTTTTAGTATTTGATTTTTATTTCAAATTTGGTAAAGAATTTGGATGTAACGTTGAGGCAAATGTTGTTCTGTTTATTCTTTTGCATAATGTATATGTTTAAAATATATTTTGGAATTTTTTTTTTTTTTTTTTTTTTTTTTTTTTTTTTTTTTTTGTGTCTCTGTTTTTAACTAAACTCGAGTTGGTAAACCCTCTTTTTTTTTTTTTTTTTTTTGTGTCTCTGTTTGGTTGAACGACCGAACGTGCCGAGAGGGAGTATCGAATGTTCGGGCGTTCGGGTTCAGGCATTCGGCCCGTCCCGAACGCTGCTAGGTCGAATGTACGGAAAAAAAAAACAAAAAATATGAAATTCAAGTATGTTGTGCAGAATACGAATACAAACAACTTTTGTTTGGAAAACATCCCTGAATTCCAAACCAAGTCCGAGTTAAGAATCAAAAACCTAAAACCACCATTACCTTCGAGCTTGTTTTTGTCGACCGTGATTTTCACGACGCATCAAGTTTGGACGAGTCGGGGAAAGCAAAACCAAATTTAGCGAATAACATGAAAAAGTGAAATTCCTCGACAAAGGGGTATTTTCTTCAGCATCAAAGACAAAATCTGGCTATATGCTGGAACCTCCGACTGAGTGACGCAAGCAAAATAATGTGAACCACGCTTCCTGAAATATTCCATCTCTAGCGAGTCTGACTATTCGCAACATACTTGTATGAAATAGATACGCCGAGATTTTCGAGGGGCGGTTGTCTCGTACATAGAAGGCTGAAGGTTCAGTTTCATCGAAGAAAAAATAAGAGAAAAAATCAGAGGAAAAAAAACTTCCTAAATGCCTTGATAACAACCAGATACATTTTATGAGGTGCTCGTGTAACTATGCCCTTAGTGATTTATTGTCAGATAATGATTTATTTTTGTATTTTAAGTTTGCCTATAAAAAGTAGTGGTGGTTAAGGTTTTATCTGGGGTTCAACTTGGAAAACAAAAGTTGGATCATTTACTGATCGTTTAAACAACCAGTACTTTTTAATGTCGTGGGGGAAAAACAGATGGTGATAAGGTAGATGGAGAGAACACATGTAGTCAATGAAAGCTCATAAGAGACGATTCAAAAACGAAGATAGTCATCTCAACTTGAAAATTCGAAAAAATTACAACAGGAATGAGAGAACGGCGTCCCCGATGCACGTTTCGGCAGCTGCCAGGCTGCCTCCTCAGGGGGTTTCCACTGCTTCTCAACCCGATACTATTCCAGTTCACCACTTTCCCTCTTCCGTAACTATCACTACACGACATTCCGGATGTAGCGCAACTCTAGCTCCGTCAGTCCCATCACAGAGGTTGACTATCCTAGTTATCAGTCCTATGTATCGCAAACAAAAATATCACAGCAGTACATCAACAAATAAAAAACGCATTCACCAATCGCCTCTTACTGGTTATCCCAGATCGATACCTATTCGCTTGAAATCACAAAAGGGCACCCTTGCCCCTGAGGCCACAAAACGCCTGGGTCACGAAATCCAAGGCAAAATAGACCGCGCGGTCATCCCGGTATCGCTAAAAAAGCCTGTTAGCTCCAAATTCATACCGGGACACCTGGGTCAACTGGTCCAATCGGACAAACTCCAGCCTATTCAAGTCGAGGCCTCGTTACCTCAAGAAAAGGCTCACACTTAGCAAACGAAATCGAAATCCTCGAATTAATTAAACCCTGTCCGACTATCCAGAGTCCACTCGGTCGAATGAAAACCTCTGGCCTATTCAAACAGAACCGACACACGACTAAAACACCAAAATTTGAACCAAAATACGTAAGAAAAACTTCAGATTAATTCGATCCTGTCAGAATATCTGTAGAGAAATTACGTGCGATATCAAAGATAATCCCTGCAACCGAAACCAACACAATCCGATCAAGAAGTCACCGAAAACGCACATACAACATCAAAGACAAAGATCACAACCATCCCTGTACATGGATGTAAAAAATTCCTACCTAAATTACAAGCACTCCCTGGTTCCAAACAAACAAAGTACAGTATATGCCCCTGATCTATGGGAATAGGAGTTTCACGGTCCATTTCCAAATTGAGTTATTTCCCACAGCGAAAGCTTTTGGGACACGTTCGAAGACTCCTGTTGGGAATCCTTTGATCCTCTGCTCCCTCGTCACAGTCAGAACTCTCATCGGGATTTCGGATCGGATAGTGGTGTTCCGATTGATCTGATGGAGATAGCTTTTGATTATAGCCGCCTTCTGTTGCTTACTGCCTCATGATGAATACGACTGCCCATTTTTGAAAGTCAGTTTTTCTTGTTCTCAGACGGTATCCTTATTCTTAACAAGTTGCACACAGCCTAGGTGTAGTGGACAATTTCGAGTCCTGATCTCACATCCCAAGGAACGGTAAGGTGTCTGTCCAGGTGTCAGTCCTCTTCAAGACCAAGTTATGAGGGTAGCACCTCTCGAACGTATCCAGAACCTTGTCACGTTGTTGATCAGACAACGCAAATGTCACGAGTGTGATATCATCAATGAGTCTGATCCCGAAAACCCTCTTGCGGAACACCCCAAGGCTGTTCAGGAACTTGCATTCCGCGTAGGCGCACAGAATACAAGCCAGTGGTGGGCTTGTACTCTTGCCCGTCGGGATGCCAACAACCTGTCTCAGGAGCACGCCTGTAGCATACGTATAGGTATGCTTCAACTCCAGTCTTACAAACTTGATCATATCATCCAAATCCAATTGTCTCCAATGGTCAGCCTCCGCGGTCTTTTCAAAAGAAGCGACTCTACCCCTAGTGTTCACTCGTACAAAAGATTTTCCTTTCCCTCGGTAATGTTCAACGATCCAGGTAACAACATCAAGAATATCTTCGTGGGGGAGTCGGCTAAACATCTCCTTGATGTCATGAGAGGCCGACTCCACTCCCGTTGAAGGTTCGTCCGGCAGCTGAAACTGTAAGTGGTTCAACGCCTTCGCCACCACCCGACCGGTCTTCACCATCGGCTCCTTGAAGGTGGGACAAATAGGCCGGAAGCAATTTGTATCCTTATGTTTAGGAAGAACATAAGATACTCCATAGCTCCCCTTCCCATCTCACCGAGCGAACTTACTCAAACCCTCCTCTCGGACTTCCGTCTTGACTCTTGCCAGTACTTCGCTCTCCTGCTCCTGAACCACCCTATAGCCAACATTCGTCACAAATGAATCCATCATTGCCCTATGGTACACGAGTGGGCACATTATAAGTGTTTCACCGGCGTTTCGATCCAATGGAGTGAGAAGAAAACCCTCGCACTCCCTTTTCACGGTGATGACCTCGTCCAGAGAAATCTTATCCGGCACGTTATAAGTTACGCCAAAGCAAGCTTGAAAATCGAAAACGCTAAAATTCGATATAGCTCCTCTCAGATTAAACCAGTTCGAGAAACCAGAGACAATCTCCTGATGCAGCAAGGATCTACGATTCGGAACATCAGGACGTGGAATGTCATTAACGTTCGACAGTCTTTGGTATTGAATGTCGCCGTCGCACAGTCGGAAGCAGACATGCCCATCCACTTTCGGGTGGGATAACCCTGCACAGACGTAGGTAGAAAATTCACGAGCAGCGAAAGCCCGTTGATTATGAAGAGTATGCCCGATCGAAGGGTTCTTCACACCTTCTTCAGTGCCCGTTCCCGAATGCAGACCGGCATATCACACACCATAATAGCATCATTCACTAACTTCCTTAGTTCCACTAATCTAATATTGTCATTAAATTTCACACGAATAACGAGATCGGCAGACATACTAAAACCAAACTTGTCACGGACCACTCGAGATATCAACTGCCTGAGATATTTCCTAGTAAATTTCTTACTGAAATCCTTAATCGCATTATACAGCTTCATAAGAGATTTCAGTCCCCAGGTGTAAAACTCCAGAAATCCTCCTCGGGTTTCTCAGAATAGCAACCAGGATAGCTTTTAGGACGCTCGCCTTTGGCTTCCACCTCCGCAGATACACGATCTCAAAATTACCCTCATCCTCAAAACGCTTCTTACCGGATTTCAGCAGAAACGTGGTCTTCCCCTCTCTTATCGTCGATTCCCCAAACCTCTTCCTTAACTTCTTCCATCCACCAACCCACGTATTGCCTCCTTCGGTCTTAATGGTCAACTATCGTTGACTACTCTGTATCTACGTTGCGCGTGTTTTTCCCCACATACTAATGCTTAGAGAAAGGAGAAACCGCGACATACACTACATTCTTTAGTACGAGAAAGTCAGTTCAGTGGATATCACACAGATGCCGCCACGAATCAACTAACTTACCGTTCCATTTGATTTCCTTCCTGCAGCTCAGTACAAGGACACAGAGTCTAAGCAATTCCTCAGCATCACGGTCAATACTCTCCAATTTACCTCGGTATTTCGTCACAAAGTCCACAACCCGCCATATCTCGTATGATCCGTAGTTCCATTAAGCTTCTTTCTCTTCCTCGTCGCCATCGACAGTAGTTGATTCTTCATCAACCAGTTCCGTTGCGCTGGACACGTCGACCGCATCGATCTCGCTGAAGTGCACCCGAGTACGGTGACTAGCGATATCAAATATCGCATCTATCTTACCGATATAATCCACTCGCTCCTCCTTGCAAATCCCCTGCAGCTCCAGAGCATCGAGTGTACGCAAATCTTCCATCTGTTGATTGCGATACCATAGCTTCTCACGGTACTCGGCTGCCCTGGGTTCTTCTTAAGCTTCTCGACATACGGTGAAAGCTTCGTCTTCAGCTTGGCCTTCGAACGAGTGACCCGACCCCGGAGTGGTGGTATTCTTCTTCTTCTGCTCAGATCGCCGCGGGGTTCACTTGGCAGGGGTGATCATAGGTGGACTATCCTCAAACTCCACCTCGGGTCCCCTCTTCCTTTTCTCATGGATCGTCAACTTCTTGGTTCTTGCTCGGATATCCTCGGTTGCGCTTTCGTAGCTCTCATCCCCGGAGTTAGAAGGTATATGCATCTGCTGTTTCACGGGCTTCACCTTCCGGACGAAATCAAGAACTGGTCCTAAGCTGGCCTCCATGCGGTTAAAAAAGTCGCTCGTCTTGATCGCCAATTGTAGCTCCATCTTCTTGTCGATCTCCGTGGTACGTTGCGCATCCCTTATCCGCTTCTCGATGCGTTTCTGTTCCTTCTTCTCGCGAGCTTTCTGCTCCGCCTCCAGTCTCTCCGCTTCTTCTTTAGCTTCAATACGTAAGCGCTCCGCTTCGGCCTTCTTCACTTTCTCGGCCATTACGAACTCCGACACCGCAACTAGGCTCTTGTTTAGTTCCTCGATCTGGCGCCCCAACTCCTCTGGTTCCTGCGTAGTAGCTTTTCCCTTTGCCTCCCCTTTAACCCTCCTCGGGGATGCCGATCGACCCCGATTCACGTCGTAAGAGGTAGATGCCTTCGCATTAGGAGCGCACCAGCGGTTTGGGCACTAGTTCACGTAGTGCCCCCGCTCATTGCAACTAAAACATTGAGGCGGAGAACGTCGGTAATGCCGATCTCCCCCTGCGTCATCTCTTCAGTCGTAGCCATGCCGGCTCCCTCGGTCCTCGCTACTTGATCTCCTCCCTCGGTCGTAGTCGCGCCGGTCCCCCATCGTCACGTAACAACGCGGTTTACCAAACGTGTGTCCAAGACGCGGTCCGCACAAAACGCCGTGCAGAAGTAACTAAGTGACAATGAAAGTAGAGTACACGCTCACTCATCTTATTAATTTTTTCTCAAGAAAGTTAGTGTGCGCTATCGCAGATGGTGATAAGGTACATGGAGAGAAGACATGTAGTCAATGAAAGCTCATAAGAGACAATTCAAAAACGAAGATAGTCATCTCAACTTGAAAATTCGAAAAAATTACAACAGTAGTGAGAGAACGGTGTGAGAACGGCGTCCCCGACTTACGTTTCGGCAGCTGCCAGGCTGCCTCCTCAGGGGGTTTCCACTGCTACTCAACCCGATACTATTCCAGTTCACCACTTTCCCTCTTCCGTAACTATCACCACACGACATTCCAGATGTCTTGCAGCTCTAGCTCCGCCAGTCCCATCACAGAGGTCGACTATCCTAGCTATCAGTCCTATTTTGTCGCAAACAAAAACATCAGAGCAGTACATCAACAGACAAAAAACGCATTCACCAATCGCCTCCTACTGGTTATCCCAAATCGATACCTATTCGCTCGAAATCACAAAAGGGCACCCTTGCCCCTGAGGCCACAAAAGGCCTGGGTCACGAAATCCAAGGCAAAATAGACCGCGCGGTCATCCCGGTATCGCCAAAAAAGCTTGTTAGCTCCAAATTCATACCCGAATACCCGAGTCAACCGGTCCAATCAGACAAACTCCAGCCTATTCAAGCCTAGGCCTCGTTACCTCAAGAAAAGGCTCACACTCAGCAAACGAAATCGAAATCCTCGAATTAATTAAACCCTGTCCGACTATCCAGAGTCCACTCGGCCGAACGAAAACCTCTGGCCTATTCAAACAGAACCCACACACGACTAAAACACCCAAGCAACGGAAAAAACAGTCAAGCAAGGGGGGGAAAAAAAATGTGTTAATGTTGTGAATGAGGGCGAATAAATGATGTTACAACAGTGAGACAGTTACATGTCACGAGTGAAATACGCCCTGCCTGGCTGACAGGGCACTAGAACGAATTGAGAAAAAAAAAAAAAAAAAAAAAACTGCAATTCGTTTCTCGATGTAGTGGCCGAATACATTCCTTAAAGCATTGGTGTAACTTCCAACCTTGTGAGGGTCTTCCTCGGCATCTGTAAAATTGGCTCTTTATTTTTTTTCTGTTTTTTATCGTTTTTTCTTTTTTATTTCATTGCCCGTCAACCCGGGGCCTAGAGCCCTGTGTTTTCATGAGTAGACTACTAGATAGAGTTTTCGTGTTTGTGAAAGGTAGTGGTGGTTTAATGAAAACTTTATTTATTTTTATTTTTTTTAATTATTTTTTTTTATTATTTTTAAATTATTATGATAATTTACTAGGCTACAAGAGTGGCTCGGGATCAGTTGCCCGGCCGGACCAAAAATTAAAAATAAAAATAAATATTTTTAAATTTTATTTTTTATTTCAAATTTTGCGAGGCTACCAGCTGGGCCGCCCGGGTCCCGTGTGGCCAGCCCGTGCAAGGAGGTCCCAAAAAAAAAAAAAAAAAAAAATCCAAAAACTTCGAAAAAAAACTATGTTATGAAAAAAAATAAACTGAACAACTTTTGCCTCAGGGTCACATCGAAATTCTTCACCAAAATTTAAAAAAAAAAAAAAAATTAAAAAAAATATATATATATATATATTTGTTGGGCCCGGCCGGGCAAGTGACCCCGGGTCACTCTGGTTGTCTTGGCCTCGTAAATTTTTTTATGTTCTTGAACTTTGAACTAACACTCAATCCTGCCACACGCCATCTGAGTTATAAACCTCATTAAGCTTTGTTGGTCCTCTCAAATTGTTGTTCAAAAGTTTTCATTTCTTTTCCTTCTTCATTTTGTTAAAATTTACCATCCATATATCATTCATCATGCGAACACCCTTAGACATCTTTCTATTATTAGCTAGTTTTACCAGTCGGGCCCCCCGAGTCACCCTATTTCCCCGACAGGCCGACTGTGCAAGGACATGGGAAGGTCCTAAAAAATATATATATATATACAAAAATACGAAAAAAACTATATTTTACAAAAAAGTAAACTAAACATTTCCCTCAGGTTCACATTGAAATTTTTTACCACATTTAAAATAAAAAATAAATTTTATTTTTATATTTTTTTATTTGTTTTTGGTCTGGCCCGAGAAGTGGAACCGGGCCACTCTGGTAGCCTAGATTATTAGTCAGCTTCCTTATAAACTGCGTAGCACACCGAACGTGTTCGGACGTTTGCTGAATGTCCGGACACGTTCGGCCATTCGCCCGAACAGGCGCTGAACGCATTCCGCACGAACGAATTCCTGAGGCCGGCAAATGCGTTCGTTCCACGGTCGGTACCGGGGCTGTAGGGTCTGGGGGCCGTGGAGGGGGGGTGTTCGAGGGGCGGTACCTGGCCTGTAGGGTCTCGCGGCCATAGGGGGGGG